GTACCAAAGTTTAAAGCCAACAGTGAAGGCCCCTGCATCTCGGTTGGTCAGCTCCAGCTGATGTGCATAAAGAGTTTAGAGCTCAGGCCTCCTGCAGTATTTAAACTCTAATTCTGGTTCCAGTCCTGTCTCCACCTCCACATTCACTATGCTCTCACAAGACAAAGACAATTCAGTGTGGTTTGCTCATTTGTTTGTTTGTTTGTGTTTGTTTGGGGAAACAGGTTTTTATTTATGAAGCCCAGCCTGGCCCTGAACTTACCGTTTTTTCCTGTCTCAGTCTCCCAAGTGTTGTGACTTCAAGATAACCTGAGTTTGACCTCCTAGGCCCACAAGGTGGAAGGAGAGAACTGACTCCCTCAACATTTCCTCTGCCTTCTATATACACGCTATGGCATGTACATCTATAGATACACAATCAAAAAAAAAAAAAAGCAAATAATGTAAAAATTACAACAAAAATGATGAATGATTCTTGAAGAACAATATCCTAGAGTGTCCACCGGCCTCTATTCACATGTTCACAGTCACACAAACACTAGAAATGCAATTTTAAAGCTAAAAAGTAAGCGTGATAGTAATACCAGGGGTGTGTGTGTGTGTGTGTGTGTGTGTGCATTCCAGATGTGGAAAATGCATATTCAACAATTTTAGTTATGCAGTCAAACAAATTTGGAGACCATTACTCTTGAAACTGTGCCTCACCTCCATTTCATGTCATGGTGGCAGTGGGAAGAAGGTGAACCCCGCAAAAAAATTTACATGAAGAGGAGTACAGCCTGTTTAAATGCTAGCAAAATAGTCTAGATAGCATTTTATTTTTATTGCTAAAAGCTCAGAATTCTCTAAAGAGGGGTTTTGAAGAGTTTTACTCTTCAAAATTTTGTTCTAGGAAATGAGCTGAAGTTTGAGCATTGGCTATATAGAGAGACTTGGTTCCAGCCTGGGCATGGTGCTGCACACTTTGATCCCAGCATTTGTAAAGCTGAGGCAGGAGGACTGCTGTAAGTTCAAGGCAAGTCTGAACTTCATAGCAAGACCTTGTAGCAAAAAGGCTGAGGCATGGTTATTACATTCAGTGGGTAAGGGTACTGCTGCCAGGTCTGACCTCTGACCTGAGTCCCATCCCCAGGTCCAACATGGTGGCCAGAGAGAGCTGACTCCAGCAAGATGTCCTATTACTGCCACATGTACATATGCCCGGCTGCACCCACAAATAAAACAACTTTAATAAAATAAAAAAGAATATAAAGAATATGCAGGTTCAAAAGTCAGAAAGGTTAATGGTTTTCTAGGGTTGGAGGGTTTAGGAGGAATGGGAAGAGCCTGCTAACTGGAACAGGACTTTAGTGGGGAGGGTAATAAAACATTCCAAAATCACTGGGCATGGAGGCTCACACCTTTAATCCCAGCACTCAGGAGGCAGAGACAGGATCTCATGAGTTCAAAGCCAGCCTAAGCCACACACACAGTGAGTGAGCCCCTAAATTCACACGACAAGAGAAGAAAATATTCTAAAACCATGGTGATGGGTATATATACCAAGCCTCAAAGAGTTAACGTTCCTTAAATGTACTAATTGGTCTGTGAACTGTATCTCAAATACAGTGGCAGACATACTGCACAACATAGTGTCACGGTAGGGATCTGGATATAAACCATGGGACCTGGTGGACAGTTGGAAGCCTAAGGAGGAAATTGGTGGAGCCCAGGGGTGCGTGCAGGGCCTGGCAGCACTCCCTCAGAAGCACCAACCTATTGGCCCAGGAAGCACTACTTTCCTCTCACGAACACGGGTGATCTTGAGATCACAGGCCACACTTTCCCACTCCAAACAGAGAAAGGAGACCCTACAGTGAGCCTGGGCAACCCTAGAAAGCAGAGCCCACCATCACCTCATCTCCACCCATGCACACCACCCCCACCCCACTCCCACCCCACCCCCCACTCCCTGGCATCCAGCAGCCCACCTGAGCCTAGTTGTTTTGGTCCTTCCCCTCTCATTCCTGCCAGGGTAGCTATTGGCCGGGAGAGCTACAAGCACACACTTGAACTTGGGCTGAGTTTGTTACTCTGGAGGTGGGAGAGGGGGGACAGGAGGATGTCGAAAAGGCTGCGAAGATAAGATAAACCAGGAGTGAAGGCTCAAAGCAGGTTGATAAGGTGCAAGTTCCAGCTGGAATTGCACTCCCGCCTCTTGACCCCATCCCTGCTGCCACTGCCTCCTAAATGCTTTTACTGTTTGTGAACTGCTGCCTCATCGCCAGGCTGTAGGCAGACGGGACTTCCCCTGCCCTGCCCTTTCAGTTTCCTTTCAGCCCAGCCCTTTACAAGAAAGGGGAAGAGCAACTGCTCTCCACCCCTACCTACCCACAGACATTACTGTCTAGTCACAGTCTCCCCAAGAGGCTTTGGAAATTAATAAGACACTTTCTGGTTGCTCCAGTGGTGACCTGACTTGTAGTGTCCAGAAACTGATGGTCAGAGGCTGCAGCCTACAAATACACAAGTGTTTATAAGCGGGGGTTTACAATTCCATTGTTTTATTCCTTGAAATTCTGTTGACCACTTGCTGTACCAGGCTAATAGAGCTGCGTAAGTTCGAGGCAACTCAAAGGTGTAGTTTGGGATTTTTGTTTGTTTGTTTGTTTGTTTTGGGAATTTTACCTAGATTGTCATCATTTCAGAAAAGCACCACAGAGCCAACAATACCCCATTGGAATCAGCCATTGTTGGGGGACAAAGCAATATGGCAAAGTATTGTGCTAAAGAAGCCACACACACACAAACAAAAAGCCAAGCTCACCAGTCAAGGTTTAACCTGTGGACACAGGACTTGGGGATAGGAAGTTGGAAATACGGTCCTTCTTGTCACCCTGGGTACCAAGACAGTTCCACCAGGATAGTGAGAAGGGTCCACTTCTCCACCTGCGGCCTGCCCTGGGGTAGGCTTGTTTCAAGGTAACAGAGGTTTAATTTTTTTAAGGTGTTCTTTCTCCCAGGTCTCTCCCCCAGGTTCTTCTTGAGCTCTTGGCTGTTGCAGGAAGCAGTCCTCAGAGGATTCCGATCTTCTTTCTTCTGCAGAGTTCCTAGGTTGCCAGAGGAGGAGACTGACAACCAAACACTCCACTTAGAATCCAAGAAACTTTGAGGTCTTCTGGGCCTCTACCTCCTAAAAATGTCGTTTATTGAGGGCCTGGGAGATGCCTCACTCTTGAGACCTGAGGACCTGGGTTCAATCCTCAACACTCACATAAAAGCTTGGTGTGGTGCTATGTGCCCTCCCCAGCATTGGGGAGGTGAAACTAAAAGATCCTAGAAGCTTGCTGGGCAGCTAAATCTCCAAGCTTGAGGTTCACCGTGACTCTGTCTCAAAATACAAGGTGGAGGGTAATTGCAATTGAGAAAGATATCCAGCAGCCTAGCCTCTGATCCATACACACACATGCACACACACCCCTACACAAATGCACACCTCCACACACATGTATAACCACACACACAGGCACACACTCACACACACATACCCAAAAGAATAATTGAAAGGCTTAGCAGTTAAGAGTACTGGACGCTCTTCCAGAGGACCCGGGTTCAGTTCCCACACCAACATGGTGGTTCACAGCCACCATAACTCTATTTCCAGGGGATATGGCACCTTCTTCTGAACTTCATAGGTACCAAGCATGCATATGATATACATATGAACATGTATCATACACAAAAGGAAATGAATATATCTAAATTTAAAATAGTAATTGAGTGAGTGAATAAGCTTTGTGATACAGGATGAATTATCCCACTTTGGGGTTATGGTTACCATTAATCAGTAACTAATTGTTATAACAAAGTATTTGACACAAGCTACTTGGTAAGAAAAGATTTATTTAACTTAGAGTTTTGAAATTTCAAACTTTAAATGGTAAGCAGAGGCTCTATGCCAAAGGTTTCTCTTTCATACCAACAGCAATGGAGTGAGCAAGTGGTTCCATGTTAGACAAGCAGAAGTGGCAGCAGAGTCGGGTTGCTGCTTCTATCCCAACCTCTCAGAGCTCAGAAAGAGCCTCATCCCGAGAGTGCCTCCAGACCTCCCACTAGACCCTCTCTCAACGGTCCCAACACTTCTCATGACCACCACTCTGGGGACCACGCCTCCAACCACAAACAACTGTATCAAAATTAAAAGCTCAAGTCAGGAATGTTATAGTAACTTTCTGTAGGATTGAGATTTCCACTTTAACTTTAGCCATTAGAAACTTTGACCTTGGAGCTGGGGTTTCAAACTGGAGGCCCAACAGAATCTAACAGGAAACACAGCAGCCACTAATGCCCCACCCGTATCCGGCAGTGCAAGCTGGTTTCTAGCTTTTTCATGGTTTGCTACTAACAACAAGAACCTGAAGTGCCTGGGCTTCCATCCTATCACACAGCCCTGAGGAGCCAGGGATAGGCTTGGACACATTACCAATAGAAACCTTAAGGTGTGATTTTTTTTTGTTGTTGTTGTTGTTGTTCTAGAGCTCCCTGTGAGACCAACACTTCTGAAATCCCTACTCCCCTCTACATTTCTTTCCAATCCCTGTCCTTCATCAGCCACCCCCTACTGTTCTGCTTTGGAGTCCCTTCTTAGCCATTTTCTTCTAGACCTTAGTTCAGGAGCCTGCCTCTATGGGCTAAGCTTAGGAGTGTCTCCTAAGACACTCCACTGGCTCTGTAAGTGATGAAAACTGCATGCATGCTGGGAAAATACTTAAGGCCACTTCCTATAATACTCTAGCAATATCTAGCAGTAAAAATAACAAAAAGGAAGTAACAGCAGGGCTTGGGAGAGGACCACGGAGCTGCTGGGCACAGTGACAGACTTCAGTTAGGCCGCTATGCTTCACCAACAAGAAAATAGCTCAACTCTTAGATTTTTAAAAATCACTTATGTTGTGATAGACCAAAGATGAATAACTGCATTCAATTAATGAGGCGTACAGAGGGTTTGATACATGATCAACTATTGTTTTTAACTATATTTATTAGCATTTTTCTTTCAAAAATATCAAATGTTTTTTCATAAGGTTTCTGATCAAAATACTCATTGATGCTTTATTGTTTCAGATATCTATGATGCTAGTCTTCCTTTTTTTTTTAAACATGCATATGGCATTTAAAGTAAATTATAAAGAAGTTGGTGTGCACATTACTACTTCTTGCTGTGTGCATAAATTGTATAGCATATCAAAAGTGGAATTTGGAATTAAACTGGTACAACTGAATCCTCAGACCTGAAAAAAGAAAAAGAAAGGGAAGGGGTGGAGGGATGCGGAGGGAAGGAGAACGTTAGTGGAACATTTATGCTATTTGCATTACCAGTCTCACCACCAAATGGATCTGTTGGACAAACACCTTCTTAAAGGAGGCAAGTCTTGACTCTACCATTTGGTAACTGCCTGTCTGGGAAGATCACCCACCCTCTCTCTCTCAAATCAATCCCCCTTTCCTAGAAATAACTATAATACAAGATTTGAATGAGTTTTTGGCCCCAAGGTCCCCAGACGGTAGGATTTCACAGAAAAGCTGGATTTTCTACCACTAGACGACATCTAACAGAGATGTCTGAGTCCCCTCTCACACTCCTAAACTTCCTTCTAATACATCTGTGACGGTGCCTTTACATGGAGTTACAACACCCCACGTCCATTTCTTGCCTCAAGTCGTCTGGAAGCCTCTAGAAGGTCAACCCAGTGCCTTACTGGGGCAGAACAGGAGATGGAGAGGGGTGACACATCTACAGAACTCTGTCTCTCCACTCTTCTGGGTGAGGACCAAGGCCACTGCCACTCAAAGACAGCAAGGGGCTTGGTCCAAGGCTCCTCAGCAGAAATGCCAGGGTGAGAGCAGAACGACCACACCCCTGCTGGTGCAGTAGATACCCGCCTACCTCTCCTTGGGGAGAGGCGCTGTTCTCCCTTTAGAGGGCTAGTAATGCAGCAGAGCCAGGCCTGTGGCTAGGTGCCTCCCTCCTGCCAACCCACAGGGTAAAGGATGGGACCCCAAAGCATTCTTCTGTGGCTACCATCAAGCTACCCCGATTAATGTCTTCCCTACCGTGGCATTTATCTACAGACGGCTCCTAGGATAGTGAATCAAGCAATTCTCTTCCTGAGGTGCTGGGAACAGAACTTAAGGCCTTAGGCATGCTAGGCATGTGCTCTAGCCCCAGCCTTCCCACTCCCAAAGGCCCATTTCTTAAAAGTCAAGAAACCTACCTCCATGCTGCTTGATTACAGGTCTCGTTCTATGAAAAAATAAAATGGAGAAAAAGAAAACATTAGTACTCAGTAGTTTATGGCAGATATGGAAGTGTTGGTAGCAATAAGGCTGGTTGTTGTGCTGGTCTTGATTGTTTGTCAGGAACTATGGAGGGATCCACCCCTGTCAGCCCAGCATGTAGCCCAGGCTGGGCTACATGGAACTGTCCAGAATTTAGGGACGTGAGGGCAGGGGTTGCAGGCCAAGGCCTGTACCTGCCTGACATGCTCTTCGGCCCTCAGTATGTATCAGACTGCCAGGAGAGCTGGATGAAGCTACAGGTAAGAGGTAAGGGGGCTGGGATGGGGGAGGGGGTGCTGCTGTGTCAGCCTCCCAGCTGGCATCCCTGAGCAGTCCTTTCAGGGCATATGCAGATCTTTAAAATAGCAGAGCAGCTTTAAGCTGTGACTCAACATAGATGGAAGGCTCACCCCAGGTAACAATCCTGGGCTCCTTGAGAGTGATGTGTGTAACTTTGCAGGTATAGGAGTCCGTTGCAGTAGGGGTGAATTCAGCGTGAGCCAGTTGATAGAAGGTCCAGTCCTTGCTGAAGGATAGATCTGAGTACTGTACTTTTTCCATCGGCTTTCCGTTCTTCAGCAGTTCGATCTCAATTTGAGGCGGATGAAACTGAGACACGTAGCAGTTCAGGAAGTTTGTTTTCCCATTTTCCGGTGGGTGGCGCGAGTACACCTGCACTTTAGGGGTGCCTGAGGGCCACAGGGAAAGACAAACGACAACTATTGGGGCCTTCTCCTCGGGGTTAACCATACCTCAGTCTACACCACGCACCATGCTGTGTTTGCTCATCTTCTCCCAGTCCCATTTCTAGTCTGGACATGCAGTCTGCTTCGCCAAAAGGCTACCTGCATTTTGAGAACCTGGTGTCTTTTCCTCGAAATCCCATACACACCTTGTTTTTTTCTTCTTGGTTTGTAGCAGTGTCTACTATCACTGGAGGCTGTGCTGGATTTTTAAGAAGCTTTTATTGAAGGCACTCAAGAACTGTGCCTGTCCCTTCCTTTAATAAATCCCACAGCCCCTACTTTCCAAGTTTCTTGTGTCATTCTACACACCCTCTATGGTATACACATCCAAGTACCTGTGTTCTTGTATGCTGCGTCAGCCCCTCTCTCATTTTCATCCCCTTCTGGTTTGCTCTTCCCTAGACTTCCTAACACATACTGTCTGATGCAGTGCTGAAAGCGGAGCAGCTACCGCTCAGGCGGCAGAATTATCTCCTCCCTAAAGAGATTCCCATCCGTAACACCAGCCTATAAATTCTGTCTCTGCTTCTCATCCAATAAGACAAGATGTACTACTGTGTAGAATATGCAAATTTGGCATCAAGGAATCACTAATATATATCTACTTTCTAAAAAAAAAAATATTGTTTTACTGAGACAGTGTGTGTGTTTTGCACACTCATGCACACACAACAGCTCGTGTATGAATTTAAGAGTCAGTTCTCTTCATCCACCAAGTGGGATCTGATATCAAACTCGGGCTTAGTGACAAGTGTCTCTACCTGCTGAGCCATTTCACTGACTCTGTGTTTTTCTCCTCCAATTGTTTGTTTGTTTAAGCTTACTCCATCTCCCAGACTGGCCTCAAACCCCTGTCTCTGCCTCCCAGGGCTGAGATTACAGACATGAGTCACCAAACCTGTCAGGGCGCATGCTCTCTAAAGGGCAGCTACTTCTCCACATATGGAAGGCAGTAGGGAGAACCAGACAGCTAGAGTGAGGGTCTCAGTAGTGAAGCTTTGAGCACCTTTTTCCTGGAAAGTTGAAGTGAAGATAAGCCAGAGCGCTCCTTACAGTTGAGGTTTTAGCAACAACAACGTGCTAAAAGCCATAGAGGTCAGAGCCCTGGTTCATCCTGCCTGGAATCCGCAGGGAAAGAACCATCTCTTCCACAATTAAGACAGGTGTGAATCTGGGTGGGAGTTATTTATCCGCGATTGTTGGTAACCATCCTGAATTTTCCTCACCCCAGAGTTAGAAACTTCCCTGACTTAGACAAACTTTCGGTTTTTCAAAACTGAAAGTAGAGGCTGTATCTAAGTATCTCGGAAAGAAACAGGCGGCATGCCAAAAGGAGAGCCCAGCTTGCTTAACAGACTATGACCCAGGAAGGCCTGGGCACTTCTAGAAACAGATGGGGGTTACAGCCAAAAGGCCTCTCTACCACAGATGGCATTGACCAGCCTCAATTCCCTTGTGCGAATAAGTTACATAAGATCTCGATGCCTCTGGTTCCGTACACTTTCAAACTTAGGAAGCTCTCAAGGTCCTCGGCACTGCAGTAAGCTGTCACACCCAGCAGCCTTTACGGTCATTACTGGGAGCGACGCTACTGATACAAAGTAAGTTAACTGTCCGAGAGCTCTGGAGACATCGCAGAGCCTGGAACCCACGCCGGTTTCTCTCAACTGTGGCTCAGTTGGATCCGAGGCGCAAGTGCAAAAGAACCTGGGTCCGGCTTTCCCGGGCCCCTGGCCGGCTTCCAAGCTTCTTCAACGCGCCTCCGCGCCTCCGGGGCAGGCCCACCCTCCCGCCTATGCGCTCCGGCGGCAAAAAGCAGAAGAGAAGGCGCCTTCCCCACCCGCAGCGCCCACCGGCCGCACTCCCGCAAACCAGCCGCAAGCACCCTGTGGCCTCGAAGCAGCAAGAAGGGGGCGGTGGGACTCCCACCCCCCCGTTCCCCGGGGAGACGCAGCCCTGGCCGCTCCGGGGAAGGAGAACTAGGGAGAAATCAAAGTTCACGCCAAGACAGGGGGCGCGGGGCAGGCACTCACTCTGGATAGCGTACAGTCCCGCCGCTGAGACGAGCACCAGGAAGATCACAGCCACCGAGCGAGCCATCCTGAGCGGCTCCAGATCGCCAAATGCGGGGCCGGGGCCGGGCGCGCACTCTTATAGTCCCTGAGCTCGCAGCCAATCAGGACCCAGATCCCCAGGCCGTCACCAGTCTCCTTGCTGTTGACGCCGAACTAGGTTACAGAGGGACTTTCCTATTTTCAGTTTCATGTTCTTATAAAGTCCCGTGATGTTTGAAATAGCCTGCTGGAGCCTCTGTGCTTTGCGATCTAGGGTGTGCTCCTGAGTTTGGTGTTATCTGGTGGTTCATCCTAGGGATTTCTGGCTGGGAGCACCTACATTCCCTCAATCGCCAACAGTAGCCCAATCAAAAAAAGACTGAGGACTTTTCATTCTTGAAAAGTAAAGGCAGGACAATTAGGAGCATTAACTGGCCGAACTCAGACCTTGTTTGTAACCCCAGCCCAGGAGTACAAAGGCTTTTCAGGATTCCCAGTGCAAGGACCCTCCTTTGGGAACGGCAGCTCTGAGAGTCTCCTGCCTCTCGAAGGTTTCCCTTTGAGAGCTCTGGATGGAGAATTTCCTCAGGTACCTTTGATAAAGTTAGGTAACTTTCTTTATTCTGTTGGTGGGGCTCGGGGAAGAGACAACGGCCTGGAGCTGTTTCCAGACCATTCTCTTAGCAGTACTGTCTTACACTGAGTGAACAAGTGAAGTGAATCCACGACTAAATTCTTTTTTCCGGATGGGGAGATGAGCCCTGAGAGGCATTCTCTGCTCTGTCGGCCTGGAAGACAAAGGCTGCAATAATTTTACTCAGAATGTGTATCACAGCAGCCGTGGACCCAACATGGAAGTTAAAGTGGCCAGAAGCGCAGGACAGAGGCAGGCAGTGACCACCTGGGAGGCCCTACCACCACAAGCGGCCAAGTTGAAGCGGTTTCAGTGAGGCACGGTAAAGAGGAAGCGGAGCGTAGAGACATGGAGAGAGATCCGACATTGGGCTCGGCTTCCCCAAGGAAGCCAACAACATAACTTCTGGGTTTCTTTGACATAGTTTTAAAACTTTTAACAACCTCTACTGTGGCGCTCCTGTCTAAACTAGAGAAAACAGAATAGTCTCTACGAACCTTAATGAGATCATAAACAGAGACCCACCTGTACACTTGCCTACCCAGCAGGTAGTATTTTTATCTAGTAATGCTTAAGGGTCATAATTACTAATGTCATTTTGCTATATGTTATGGTCATGTTATATGATATCCCTTTCTGTAACTCTGAAATATAAGAATAATTTTTACGTATAAAGGTTTGAGTTGACACCTCTCTCCACCAGTTAAAAGAAAAATGCATTTAGTACTTTAAAGACCTGAAATGTTAATGTTAAATTATACTAAACACTGTGTTGAGTTGTGCTAGAAAATGTTTTAGGAAAATAGAAAACTACAGGGCTGTTTTTTTTGTTTGTTTGTTTTGTTTTGTTTTGTTCCTGATTTACTACATCGCAGAAAAAATCCTAAATTTAGGTTCAACAGAGACAGAATCTATTCTAATCACTTATAAAACCGATTTTAAAAGCAGAAAGAAATAGGTCTCAGGTCCTGGGGAAGCTGAGAGAAAGTAGCTCAGAATTCAGCCTGTTCCCAGACTGTGAAAGCTGAGAGAAGGCCTGCTTCAGACAGGAATTCCGAGGCCAGTGTGCACAGAAGAGCAAGGCCTTGTCTCAAACAAGAAGGGCCGAGACAGAGAAATGTTTTCAGCTTTCCAGGTGTGGGGACTTCTGTGTCTTGTTGAACTTGTACTTATGACTTGTTTTGATAACGAAAATGAAAGGAGAAGAAAACTACTATTCAAACGACACAAATGCTTGAAAGGCACTGTCAAGCCTGAACCAGAGTTCCATCCCTGGGACCCACAAGGTAAAAGGGAAGTACCAACTTTTACAAGTTGTCCTTTGACAACTTCACACACACACACACACACCACAACACACTCAGTCAACAAGTAAATAAATTAAAAAAGAAAAGACAAGAGCCCTGTGTGTGTAAGGGGACCAACTTTGGGAATCTACAAACACCACAATTTAATAGTTATCTCCCAAGGGAATAATTATCAATAATTAATAATAGCTATCAATAAATAAATATTAGTAATTAATAATTATTAGCTAGCGGCTTTTTGCCTATTTGATTGCCTGAAAAGGTTATTTTAGTCAACACTTTAAAATAGTAAATATTGGTAAGAATTCTTTTAGAAGAACTAGAATTTTTATAAGTACTTTGGAAAAAAAATAATAATTTTATTTAACAAAAAAATTTGGGGCTGGCAAGATGGATCAGCAGTTAAGAGCACTTGATGTTCTTGCAGAGGATTGGGGTTCAATTTCTAACACCACATTGTAGCTCACAACCATCTGCAATCCCACTATCAGAGGGTCCAACAGGCATGCACATGGTGTACTAACATACATGTAGCCAAAATATTCATACAAATAAAGCAAAATAAGTAGTCTAAAATAGTTTTTTTTTAATTAAACATAATTAATAAACCATTCTACCTATTCTCTGTACTCGGGAGAATACAGGGAGAAAACAAAACCTTATGTTATACAATGACTTGTATGGATGTTGGCAGCCGCTTTGTAAACCAGAAATAATCCAAACAGCCACCAACAGGGGAACAGAGAGAAACGTTGTGATGTAGACCTGTCAGAACAAGACAACTGTCAAGAACAAACGAGAAATCAACCAGTGATACAAGTATCAAATAACAATTCTGGAAGAAGCCAGACAAAAGAATAGACTCTTATATGAGTCTGTTTATATAGAATGCACAAAAGATACACTGATCTGTAGTGACAGAAAGCCAGTGAGTGTTTTCCAGGGACCAGAAGGAGCATCAGGAGTAGAAGGAATTGTTGGGGTGAAAACTATTAATTATTTAGAGTTTGGGGCTGGTCTTACAGACATGCTCATATAGTATACTTAATACATCCATGTATACTTAAATACATCCATGGTATATTAATTATTGCGGTTCCAAAAGGTAAACCCATCCAAGCACCCACACCAGGCAGCTCACAAACACTTGTAGCTTCAGGTCCAAAGGACCTGACACCCCATTCTGGCCTTTGCAGGCACAAGCGAAGAGTTTAAGGTAGCCTGGGTGTAACTCCATTTTGAAATAAAGAGCCATCTTGACTGGGAGCTGAATTCAGGTACCAGGAAACATCACAGAATGTGCACTCAGCAGAAAACAAAGTTAACTCTCCTAGCAACAGCCTCCAGGAAATATCACAGAATAAATACTTCATAGAAAATAGACAATCTCCCTGGCAATAATCAATTAGAATTGGTTGGGAATCGGCTGGGAAAATTCTCCCCAATGTTTCAGATATAATTTAGAAGAATAGCAATTGTGATCATATGCCTCAGGCAATTGTGCCTCAGAGAAGATCACCTTGCCTCTCTAACTTTTACCTAATCCTATAACATCAAGGCATGTGCCCCCCCCCCGTTTGCTGTCATGGAAACCCCCTGCTCACAGACTTTCCCTTTAAAAACCCTGCTCACTCAGAGCTTGAGGTCCTACTTCTCTACTGCTGTGTCAGTGAGGCTTGGGTCCTGGGTTCGATCGCTATTGTAATAAAGCTCTCTTGCTATTGCATCATCTCCTGGTAGTCTCTGAGGATCCCGTGAACCTGGCATTACACAAGTACACATGGGGGGGGGGAGGAAAGGGGCGCGCACACACACAAATAAAGAACTCCTTTTTAATTTAATTTTTAATTGGCTTTTCAAGACAGGGTTTATCTGTATAGACCTGGCTGTCCTAGAACTTGCTCTGTAGACAAAACTGGCCTCAGACTCAGCCTCTGCCTCCTGAGTGCTGTGACTAAGGAGGTGCACCGCCACTGCCAGTGAGAAGATGAACTCTGAGAGCACAGGTATGTACATCATTGCTAGGCTTTGGAAAGAATGAAGTACTTGAACAGTAAGAAAAGTAAGATATCAAAGTGGAGAGACAGGAACAAGTTAAAAGTTCACCTGAGTGGACCTCTGTCAGCAGGTCGACCAGACACAAGAGTGCAGTTGTGCTGAGATCTATCAGGTTCTGTCCTCAGTCCCCTGCTTCCAAAGCATGGTCCACCATCAGCGCCATGGATACCCAGGAGCGCTGAGACACGCAGCCTGCTGGGTCCACATCAGACAAACTGCAGCAAAATCACCTTTTAAAAGCATGCAGACGACTCATGCATACACTAACAAATGTAGGCATCTTCATTTATAGATGAGGAAATCGAAACAGGAATAGTACATATACAGGGGGAAGAAGTTCTGCAAAATCGGGAATTTGCTTATTTTCACTTAAAAAATTTTAGATAGTTTCCACGTTGTTCTGTTACCTGTAAGCTGGCTGGCGTCCCTTCTCTCAGGGAAAGGCAAGGAATGCCATTTCCAGTGTTGGTAGTCCCAGGCCATTGAACGCCAAAGACTGATGGGCTAGGTTGCCAGGCTCAGAAACATGTACCCCCAACCTCTAAAAACTAAAAACATAAGCCTTGTGGCTCTAGAAGTTTGAGGCTAGGAGCTCTGGGTACTCATGGTGAAGCTGAGTACCCAGCTTCTGGGTTTTGATTGTCAAAGGCCACACACTTAGCATCTAATGAAATGCTTGGTTTGCAGCAGCAGCAATAGCCACAACCCCCAGCAGCCAGTGTTAGGGTTATAAGCCTTTGGTATGGGGAGCCTTAGTTTTTAAGGCTTGCCAGCTACCTGGAACTGTCTTCCAGTGACCAGGGCTCCCAGTCCCTCATCTCCAGCTTCCTCCATCCTTCGTCATCTCTGCCTGTTGCTCTCTGGGATTCTTTAGCTATCTCCTCGCTACAGCCGTACCACCACTACCACTGTCTGCTCTTCATAGCTGTCTGGGTTGGTTGCTTGTCAACTCGACACAAGCTGGAGTTATTTGAGAAGAGGAGCAAACCTCGATAGAGAAAATGCTACCCCAGACTGCCTGTAGCAAGCATGTAGGTCTTTTTCCTGATGGAGGAGAGATGTGGTTGGGCTCAGCCCAGGCC